ATGCTAAGAAACATGCTGAACACAAGAAACACTTTGCCAGGGACATCATAAGCACAGGGGATCTCTGCCAGGGTCATATTAAGCACAAGGTGTACTCTGTTATGACCATGCTGAGCACAAGGAGTATTTTGTCAGCAACAAAAGCACAGTGGATACATCTGAGTCATGCTAAGAATATTCTCTTCCAGGAACATGCTGACCAAATTCTGCTCTGTAAATCTAATGATAGTGACAGTGTGGCCTTCATGCATACAAGCTTTCTGTGATGTTGTTGTCTATGAGGACAGGCTAAGGAACAAAATGTGAAAGCCAACTGATTTTATTGATTCGCAATATCTTTATTTCCTTGCTGAGATAAATAAGATGCTATATAAAGATTGGAATACTTGCTATTCCTGGGGACAGTTCTGATTCCAATTCCCTTAAATGCTGCCTACATAACCAAAACCTTTTGGTAACATTATATCTGCTAATGGGGATAATCAGAATCCAGATTGGCTGAACTTCCCCTTTAGCAAAGATCATTTGGCAAAATTCCCAGGCTTTTAACTGTGTAAACAACAGTGAAAGGAAATGTGGAGAAACATTTTTTCACACATGGGTAGGTATTTCAGTCCTTCTTTTACACTCTCTTTTTTTTGCATCTTAACAAGCCACATAGGGCTTCATTTATAAAACTTCTGTACCTGCTGGACCAGACCCCTGACAACCCCTTTTCCCACCCCAAGCTTGCTTTATCAGTATGTTAAATGCTGAAGAGGTGGTGGGGTGGGGCACGCATGCATGTGGGAAGGTAACGGCTTGAAGATTCAGTCAGATTACTACTGGCTGGAGTTACTGACTGGGGTGCAGAACTAGCTGTCAATTAGGCAGCCGGGTAGGATTCTGACAATATTGTTGGGATCTTTCCTACCTGTGGCGCAACTGTACTCTGTCAGCTGATAGTGAGTATTAGCCTACTGTCAGCTGACTTTGGGTCACATGAGTTTATTAGTAAATCCAAAAGAGAAGTATGGCCAAAAAAATGGATTGGCTTTGCTTTACTTTTCTTTCAAGCCGATGATCTACCAGAACAACAGACCCTTCTTGAGTATTGACTCCCCCTAGTTGTAACCCCCAAAATGTATAATGCATGCATGTTTTTAGTAGCCAAGTGCATACCTTTTATTAACATTTAAACTGTATTAGCCACATTGTTGCTCAGTCAAAAAGTGCATTCAGGTCTGATTCTAAGTTAGAGACATCCTGTAAAGACTTTAAACACATAGATTTTTCTTCCAAAAACACAGAAATTGTACTTTTAATCCCAAACATTGGATCTTTTATAAATAGGTTAAGAAGTAAGGGTCCCACCACTAAACTAACAATCTAAGACCATTCAGAGTATGAATCATTAATCATTACTCTCTATATATGGCCTTTAAGCCAGTTTTCTAAACATTTACAGACTGGCTTAAAGGTCATATCTAATCTCTAAGTTATCTAGCAAGTGGCCTACATGCTCATGCCTGATCTTTTTACTATTAATATAATTAACCATTTAAGGTCTTTAAGACCCCTTATGTTACCTAAGGACCCCAAAAAAAGCTGATGAAGCAGCGTCTGTAGCCCGGAGAATGACAGATGAATGCGAAAGTGATTAAATATACATCACTTCCGCATTCAGAGACCGAAGGGAGATCAGAGGGAGATTGTGTGCTGAGCTCCCTCCGATCTCCAGTCACAGAGCTGCTGTGCCAGTCCCGGGCCCGCACGGGGCACAGCAGAGCTCAAGATCAGCGGTGGCAGAGGGGGGCTCAAACCTACATGCATAATACAAGAGATCAGGTGGCTCCACAGCTACCCAAATGCTTGTTTGTAAACAGCCTTCGCTGGCTATTTACAAATCAAGCAGTTTTCCCGCTCGTGTGTGCACTGGGATGTGTGCGTGTGCGGGGATGGGCAAGGATATTTAAAAACGCCAACCCACATCTGGGAAGCCACAGTCCAATTACAACGGCTGGACGTAAGGTGGTTAAAGAGCTTTTTGGTGTTTGTCCTACTCTCAAGAGACAGACACCTACAACTTTTTAGGGAATTCCAATACTTCAGACCTCTATGAATAAGCCTACGGGTGAAACATGTGAGAGGTTGTAGCTGGTTGGGGGGTTTGTGTGCTGGTATTTGCTGCATTATACACGTTAATTCACTGTTACACTGGATTTGCTGTGAATTTCAATAAAGTCTGAAGTATTGGAATTCTCTGGATAGTGTGGTCTGTTCGTATACTACTACATTCCAAAGTGGAGACGCATCTATTAGACCAGCACCTGGGGAGTCCTGATGGCGACTAAGGAATTGGAGCAGTGAGATTTCCTTTGGCTCTACATACAACCTTTTGTTTTACCCCCTCTCTTCAAAAGCACAGCCAAGAATATTAACAAACCAGTTACGTGAAGAACAAAGCCAAGATTGAGCAATATCAATGAAATCATATTGCTCTTCTTGCATTATATTTCCTCCTCTCCTCTTTTGCTTGGCAGACTTCTGGCATTGGTTGACAAATACTGTAATCCATTGTGTAATTTTGCACTTGTATTAACCATTACTTTTTGAAGCACAAATAGTACTATTGTCGCAAATGTTAGTTAAGTCTTAAGTTAGTTAAGTGCTCAAGAAACCCAAATCCTTCCCTCTTACACCAGGTTTTTAGCCCTGTGTTTAATTCTCTGTGTTTCTGCATTGTCACCTGCTACTTGCACCTCACTAAGCATGTGGCGTACTTTTAGTTATTTGCTGTTTGAACTTACTATGGACATGTCACTTGCACTTGAGTGGATTTTAATGATTCAGCCAGTCAGCAGGCTTGGAGTGACTATTGAGCTGGCTGGGAAGGTATAAAATATTTAGGTCATTTCCTGGCAGATGCACTTCTGTCTGGTGAGAATGCCACTGGGGAAGCTGTCTTTGTCCTAGGCCTTACCAGAGGCTGAGTTCTAGAAAGATTACCTTTCCAGTAGCATGTGCCCCCCCCCTCCTTCCCACTCTTCATGCACTAGTGCAATAGATTTCATCAAGTTTAACTTGACTGGTGCATGCCCATCTTTCTTCGATCCTGATAAATAATCATTCCCTGGCATGAATATGCTTTGGACCTTATTGCCAAGTAATGGGGCTTAGGATATTCTCCATGCAACTGTTAGATGACAAAAAAATCAATATATATTTAAGGTCAGTAGAAATAGCGCTACACACATTGCACAGACATGGTCTGCTGTTGTCAGTTGAAGAAATCTATTTGAGCAATGATGTGCAGCTGACACCAGAGCATGTGCATGTGGACAGGAAGTGTCGGAAAGAGGCCTGAAGAGATCAGTGGCACTGAGATGCAAAAAATGATGAAAAAAAGGTAAAAAAAGAACAGTTATTTTTATAAAAAAAACAAAATGTCAATTGTCTGAGATACACTGTTCTATAGCATCTGAAATCAGCCGTACCAGCCTGAAGTGAATAGCCGAACAGTGTTCGGCTCACTTCACTTCTGATCGGTCATTCACTCGGCTGCCCTCGGCAGCATAGTGAATAGACCCCTAAATGTGATGTAGCTAGGGTTTAAGTCCACTTTAAAACAGCTTTAACAGCTTGAACTTCAGGTATTCTGTATGTAAAAGTATCAAATGAATGCACCCCTGCATATCATTAAATATATATTTTAAAATACAAACAGCGTGAATACCTAAAAATAATCCACAACACTCACCGCTCATATTCTGCAGTCAGATCCAAATTAAGAGGAACCTTCAGGTGCTGGCAAAAAGGCTCGCTCCCACCAGCATAAATTTTTGTCCAAGAGCCGCACTCAATGCTTTCTCCAAATAAATCAAAATTTTATTTTAATTCATGATACAGCATACACCTTCCAAAGCTCCCCAGAACGAAGGAAACTCTCTTCTTACATGTTTCACCCACAGGGCTTGATCAAGTGTGAATACCTGAATGTTCCTTGGTTTCATCCTCTTGCAATCCCATGCACAGCAACCCTGAGATGCATGCTGATATGAGGGGAGAGCTGCCCGCACACTACAAGAGTTAACTTCTCATATATCTCTAGGAGTATTGTGTAAATTATTTTTGCTTGCCTTGTCCTTGTTCCCATAGCAGTTGACGCTCACCTTATCTCCCCCATGCTTTGGCTTGTGGACTGTCCCTGAAGTGTTCTCATTTATAATGCAGGGCTATGGGCTGGGTCAAAGGCCTGCTGGAGCACAAGGGCGATAGGCTATGGTGCCAGTCTTGGAGCCTGTGAGAGTGGGGATCTGATGGGTAAAAATATTTTCCATATTATCCCTAGACAAAATACACAAGTAACCCTTGCAGAGAAGGCTACCTGTTTTGTTTTCTACCTGGAGATAGGCTTTTACTACAGCAGATAAATATCACTGCCAGGCAGCCTGTGCTAGGTGGCAGAGCTGTGTCTATCACTATAGATTGACAGTGATGTAATTCTTGTGGTAGCTAACAGCTATCTTATACAGTTTGGGGGGAATTTATCAAAACTGGAGCAGACAATCAGCTTCATTTTCAATTCTTAACTGAACAACCTGAAGAGAGAAGCTTTTTGGTTGCCCTGTGCAACTGCTCCAGATTTTGTCTGCTCCAGTTTTCATAAATTCCCCTCACTATATTTTATCTGTGTGTTTAGCTGTTTGCTTGGAGTTGAAAATTAACATTTAGGTATAGATGGTATTAAATTGCTGTAGCCTTAAAGGAAACATATCATGTAAGAAATATCCAGGCTGTGAATGCTGACCTTTGTTTGAAAATGCACATATCTGATTTGCTCTCCATATTTCATTCTCTGCTCTGTGCTAGCTGTGCTACATGATTTCTTTGTAATTAATAACATAGTGGCATTGTGTTCTTCCAAACCATGAAGTTACAACAGTAACATTTTACTTCTCTGTAAAATATTCATGCAGGTTTACCAGACAGTAAGCATGTTCTTTTTCTCCTGTTTGCAGGTTTCAGAGCGATGTGACTATGTCTTTGTAAATGGAAAGGAAATGAAGGGAAAGGTTAATGCAATAGTGAAATTCACGTATCAACATTTCAAAGCCTCACTAGAAATGACAGTTTGGGTGCCACGGCTCCCTCTGCTGATAGATGTGTCTGACACCGAATTAAATCAGATCAAAGGTTGGAGGGTTCCTATAATGACGAATAAGAGGTATGCATCTTATTTTGCTTCATTTATATTAATGCATTTCATTAAGCTTTGTAATTAGTGCTTATTTACATTACCTTCCGAATGTTAAGAGGGCACTTAGATTTTCATCTAGCTTTCCAGATATCAACATGATTAACTCACTGGAAATGTCATGTTTTACTTTTCTAGTGTGAATTGTGTAGAACGGGAAATGTGTTAAGCAAAATAGCTGCTATTTTAACTCATTGTTGGTAACAGTGCATTTATTACACACAATAACGTCTTGCAGGATTTCAACATAAGACATGTTAGGGTGGACCTTTACCCCTTTTGACTAAAAATCAGCATACAACTCTGCATGCTGATATGAAATCATCTTACATTAGTTAGATAAACAAACATATTTTTATTTTACTTATAATTATTGTTTTCCACTTCCTGGTCCACTTTGGTGCAAATCGTGCCCAAGCATTGCATCCTGGGAAGACTACATTAGCAGATCATTGCTGGGAAATCTCATCTGTAATCTCATGAGATCTCAGGGAAACGCAATTTTCCTCCCCGAGATGATGTGCATGGTTACATGTCCTAGTCACATGTCCCAGAGTTCCAGGAAGTAAAGGAAGATCTAGAAACCTGCCCTTAGTTAAAATGGACACTGTCAGAAGGGAAGAAAAGAGAACTAAGGTATGCAAAAAATAAAAATCCTGCAATTATCTAGAAGTATGTGTTTGTAGATTGTCATTACTAAATATTTCTAAAGGTGTCTTTGTTGTTATTTTGAAGATATGGGTAAAGTTCCTCTTTAATGTATAAGATACACAATTATTAGCTATAAAAGTATATGTTGTATCCTATAGTAAGTTGAAATGTATTCATAATTTCCAACTTATTACCCCATTATAGATAAAGTATACAATTATTAAAATATGATCAGAAAATCTATAGTTATAAGGGGGTTGCCTTGCATTTTGCAGGTCACATATTTAACTAACTATAAATGCAGGAGAGGAATTTTAGTGTGAAAGGGGTCTATGCATTTTGCCAAAAATATTTTAGGATGAGCTCCTAATACCAGAGACTAATCCTAACATAAAAAACATTTACTGACTACGGTTCAAGCATGAAAAACCATTAAAAGGGATCGAATAGATCGAAGGAGTCTATGTTTAAACAATTTGCAGAGCCAGGGGCAAAAACAAATGTTCCTAATTTATTTTCTTTTTTTTAGGTCAATTGTAATGTACCGTAATATCACATTATGGCCACTAAATTCAGCTATGTATTTATATATGTATTTATTTCCTATGCTCCTCAGCTCCATCTGGTGGTCATAATGAAGGCCAACACTCTAAACCAATTTGCTGCTGCTCCTTTAGTATCCAATCCCAGTTTGGGCACAGAAAGTCAATCACTCTGAATTGCAGTCAGGTCACCAACCTGTGCTATAAATCTCTGCACTGGGTGGCCAAAATAATAAATCCTTTGGCAAGTTTCCATATATGCATTTCAACTGAGTATAAAGCTGTTTGCCCTGAGTTCTACCTTAATTAATATGTTCTTTAAAATTAAGTTTTCAGATCTACATACCTTTCACATGAATAAGATCATGGCCTCACTCTCTTTTTTTTTTGCTTTTATTTTAAAGTAAAACCCAGGAAAAAATCTATTTTCATAGTTTATGATGAAAAAAATCTATTTTGCATAGTTACCTGTAATGATTCATATGTAGCCTAATCTATGTAAAGGATCATTTATTAAACATTCCAAGGGAAGCAGTAATGTACTCAGAAATAAAGTATAAAAATAAACACATCCAAAGGTTTCTTTTAGTGGAGATTCAAAAGCCCATCAAATGACACAGTGATGCTCGCTCAACGCACTGACAAGCAGTCTTCAAGCCGGCACTGTGTCCACTGGATTAACGCGTTTCAGGGGCACGCACCCCTTCTTCAGAACCATAGCTGTTCTGAACCCAGGCAGACTTTTATATTGAAAAGTGGCCAATCATAGCCTTTCATTCGTCTAACCAATCAAAAGTGCTTACTATCAGCCAATCATCAGCAGCCTTCACTCATCCAAAAAGAAAGTGACATGTCACCCAATGGTTTATCCTAAAGGCAATGCAAATAGTGGCTTGATTGGAGACATTTTTAATAAAGGATGTACAACCCCATCCCAGTGCCTACTGGGGATACCTAGATTTTAATGTGTAGTCCATGCTACATACAGTGTGTCCTTTGATCTTCTGCAGTGCTTCAGCAACTTCCTGTCTCTTACAGTGACCATAAAGAGTCATTTTGCACCTCCTCCATTCAGAAAACCTCAATATTTACTGAATACAAAGCATTGGGTCGACTAGAGAAGAGAATGCATTCACTGAAAAATGTGCAAGACATTTTCTAAATGGAGGAGGTGCAAAGCTAGCAACTTCATCCTCACTATACAAGATATGAACTCATTGCAGTACAGTAGAGCAGGAAGATCAAAGAACACACTGTATGTGGCACAGACTGCAAACGGATTACACTGGCCCAATAAAACTATTAAAAATAGATTTTTTTTCCTGCAGTTCTGCTTTAACTATTATTGGAAATGTAACATGCGGAGAGGTAAAATGTCTGCTGTAACAGGAGGAGTGAAGCCTAAAGTAGAATGGGAACTGAGGTAAAACCTATAGCAAGATTTTACTAAATCCCCCAAGAAATAAGTGAAGTCATGAAGTGACTCTGCTAACCATAATCTGCTTATTTAAACATAGGGAGGAGTGAATGTGTCTAGGTTTGATTTGTGGGGCTTTCATAATTCCCATTGTAATGTCTAAAAATATTCATGACGGAATAAATGTCAGTTAAAGTACCGCAGCGCTGAATACTGAAAAATGGCCTGGATGGGAAGGGGGTTTAACACCGCGGATGTCAACTGGTTAAATATTGAAGTCTATAATGGATAAATCTTGAAAATAAATTCTGGTCATTTTCAAGAATAATAGGAAAGGGATTGTCAAACAAAAGGCACAGGGAGCTAGGCAATGGCATGGGGACATGTGTAAATGCAAAAGAAAACTTTAAAAAGTTACCATACAATATGTAGAGGGTCCTCTTTTTTTATGCAGCGTTGAGGGCAACATGAGAAAGGCACTAATTAATTCCTTCAATTACATGCTCAGTAGATGCCTTTAAGATGTATGTGGTGTTACAGAACAGCACAGTTCTAATGGACAGCATCAGCAACACCATAATATGGCATCAAATAATTTGCATGTATAATATATTTTGTACTTTTAGTTTACTTTAATTTATTGCTTGACTTTAGTACAGCAGGAACAGCACCCCAATACGATTTAGTTTCAATGCAGGTTTGTCTGCGAAATCTCATTTTATATCTAGTGGTAGGCTTAAAGTGACATTAAAGGCAATTTTCCCGCCCAACCCAATGTTACTGTAAGGACTTACCTTAAATCATGCCTCTTAAATCCGATCATCTTCTTCTTTAGTGTAGTTTTCAGATGTCTCTATGATCCAGCGCTGACTCCTCTGTCCTTCTCTTCTCTGATGTCCCACAGAGTCTGTACGGGTGCACACTGCTCCATAGACTTACCTTGTGTCTCTCCTCGTCTCCCGGCCGAACATCTGAACTGCGCATGCGCCCGCCCCAAGAGCATTTGCGGCCGCCCAAGACTCTTCAGATGTTCAGACGGGAGCGCGTGGCGAAGACACAGGTAAGTTTAAATCTGTTTGAAAATGTTTTTTTCTTTAAAAAAAAAAAGTTTTTCCATATATCTACTGCTTGCTAGAAGTAGATATATGCAAAAACATGCTGAGGGTTTAATAACCCTTTAAACAGTGGAACAGTGAAATTAACAACCACAGCAGATATCAAAAGTATAGGAAACTTTACACTCAAAAAATAAAGCTCAAAGCTCTCAACTTTGTACCAATTAGGCAGTGGTAAAACAGTTTCATAGTATAGCTTGTGATAGTTTTTTGCAGTATGACTCTGTAGTTAAAGATCACTACAATGTCAAAAAATAGCAACCCTAACTGAATAATTACAACGTGTAAAATAAAAAATAAAGGATTTTTTTTATAGTTTTGGCTATAACACATGACAAGTTTGTGAGCTTCATTTTTTTGCCGTGTCACACTGTTTCATCCTAAGAGTTTATTAAAATGTCCAAACAGGGTGCACAAAAACATTTCAAAACCACAACCCCACATTGCAGGGAGAAGGGAGTTTTTTATGCTTAAATAAAAATTAGAGCATGTTATTTCAGAGACAAAACCAAACATATAGTACAGTAGCTCGAGAGTATGTAAGTAGAATGATTAGGCTATAATGTAAGAAAGAGAGATGAGTCAGTTTCTATAATGAAATTAAAAATTTGTGTAATATTTCAAAAACAATATCCACAGTTATTGTACATTCACTGTAGACTATAAAAGCATCTGTATTATTCTGCAATGTAACAGCCGATTACTACAGCAATGTAGCTAAAGCAGGTTTTGTCATGAAATACAATGTATAGACTGTTATTTTAGAGACAATAGCCAGCATGTAGCACATAGCAAGGAGCAAGAAGGTTAGATCTGCAGGAAAAGGCAGTGATTGGGGCACTCCTTCAAAAGGCAGGGCACATCTGCCTGGTCTTTCTGGCAGAATGCATGCTATGCACCCAGAGCACATGGAAGAGGAAGTGGTGTGGCTCACCAAGCCTTACTCATCTTCCCCCTCCCAGAGTAGCCCATGTTCCTCAACAGTTGCAAATGCCCCTTCTTATTTCTTTATCCTCCTCATTTACTGTTTTCCCATCGTGACCCCGCAAACTACTGTGGAGGAGTTGGCTGAATTTTTTCAGCACATTGCAAAATAAAACCTAAAACACTAAAACCCAACCCTAAAAAAACTAAACCCAAACCCTATATATTTTTTGTTTATTCAATAAAGAACCAAAACAACAGTGGAGGCAGCAGTTAATCAGAAGCTAAAGTTGTTGATGAAGGACACAAAAAGGTAGTTTTAAAAAAACTGTTGAGTGTATGCACTTGGAACACACAGCAATTCACAGTATGGTAGTAAAGTACATCACTGTGTATAGCACTGTATAACTCTCTTTAGAACACTTTATACCACAACTATCTTCACCTGCAACCACTGTCAGTTCTTCCTATCTACTCCAACACACAGACAAAAAGCTTTTATAGTGAGGGAGATGGCATGTAAGAAACCCCCATTATTGACCCTTCTAGTCCTCCTGACCACAGTTCAGATGCCAGGAAATGCAGTATTGGTAACTGGTTGCTATAGAGGCACATTAACTTATGGTTCACCTTAATCCATTTTTCGACACCAAACCTGAAACTGATCCCTATAAAAGATACCACTTTGGGTGAACTGATCCCTCTAGAAAAAGTGAAGTCCTCACTTTCTGGCTGGCAATGAAATAGACATTTGTGTGATGTGATTTGCAGACAAGCTTGTCCCCCTCTCCATGGTGGTTCTCCAAAGACATCCTGTGTTCTCCACAGATTGTTTTCAAAATCACAGATGTCAGGGAACAAGATACTTGTAGTTTGGATGTGTTTATTAAAATGTTTAATTGTGTAAATAAGCTATTAAAATACTTTAATTATCTTTCAGACCAGCTAGGGACAGTGAAGATGATGATGACGATGATGATAGAAAGGGCAAAGGTTGTACTTTACAATACCAACAAGCCTTACTTAAAGTCCTTACGCAGTTCATTGCCGAATCTACTGATGTAACCGGACAACTCAATTACCTGCTTGGATCTGATTGGCAGGTGGACATAACTGACCTAATTAGTGAATTTATCCAGATGGATGACCCAAAAGTTCTACGAATCCAAGGCCAGATGCTGATTGGGCAGGAAGCTGGTATGACAACTCTACAGGTAAAAAGTAGCTATTTGCATAGCCATTCAGGGGGGCTTTTGACATCAGTGAGTTACTAATAAATGTTTTGTCATGCTTTTGCTAGTTTAGAAAATCTTTAGTTTTGACAGGTTCATTACTGAACTTTCAGTGAGGATCCTTTAGCTTTCGTTGTTCCTGCTAGCTGAACAAAACATTACAGTACATGGTACTCTTTGTTGTAAGTTTTGATTGAAATGTGTCTGAAAGGTATATGTGGGGCGTATGTGGATGTATGCTTATGTGGCAAAGGTAACACTCACATATGCTAACTAGAACAGTCATATACTATCTAGGTTTTTATCGTGATAAACTTCCTGACCAGTTGGGCCTGTGATAACACTGTTTTCAGAGTGGTGTTTACTGTACACAATGGAAACAGCTGTGGAGAGTTTTTTGTCAAAAGAAACCTGTTTAGTTAACTGTCACTTGATAGTACTTGTACACCGCTCATTGTTTTAATTGATATAACATCAAAGGGGTCATCAGAGCATCCAATCAGAAATCCTTCCAGTGTCATTGAATGGCAGTAAACTGTATATAAAGTCAGAGGGTTAAAGTGTCTAGTGAAATCATAGAATCATCATGAGGAGAGTCATGAAGAGAGGCCTAGAGACACATAGGTGCATATATAGATTGGACATACACTGAGTGGCCACCTGACGTGTGTAGGCAAATTAGCTATAATTAGCTATACTTTTGCACTGAAGTTGCTAGAGGGCCAGCCCATTATAAATAGGGAACCAGGTTGTTTACCACGACAGTAGAAGTGATTTTTTTCCTGAAGATATGGGTAAACAACGCGATTTAACAGCCTTTGAACGTAGGATGATTGTTGGCCCTCGGAGCCATGGAGCGAGTATCAGCAAAACAGCAGAATTCATTAAATGTTCAAGAGCAGCTGTTGTTAAAGTGTTTAAAGACTGGACTGTCAGCCGAAAATCTGGGTCTGAACGTGCGAATTGTGGCCGTCAGTGACTAGTCAATGTTAAGGCAGAACGGAGAGTGGCAAGACAACAGAAGGGCAACAGTGCAGTGTCAGATTCCTCGCATCACCTTTCAGTCAAGAGGCGGCCCAACTAAGTCCTTTTGTGAAGTCATCTCGTGGCCCAATGAAGTACTGATGGCGTGGTCATAATAATCTGGCCACTCAGTGTATATGCTGGGTGTATGTAATGTCTGTATCTTTGTTAGGTTCTGCTGTTATTCTCTATTGGACTGTTCCTGTTCATCTGTGTCTGGGATCCAATAAACGCTACACTCTCCGGAAAAGAACCAAGGTTGCCTGTATAGTTCTTGTAGTTTGCATTCTGCAGTATAATTTATTTTATATAATTTATTTATTTGCTTTGCTTTGTATTTCCAAAACTGAAGTGGCAAGAGTGCTCATTAGAAGTGCAGCTGCACTTACAATTTTCTTTTAGTCCCTCTGAAAAGTTCCACAAATGTTTGCTAAGCCCAACAATGAGATCTACCTAATGCAGCTTTTGATGTGGCAATAATGCTGCACAGCTCCTGATTTCAGGGAAGAATTGTCACCTTCATGTAGACTGTACCTGCGTGCACTACAGTGAGATGAAAAATCATCAGCTGATTCACAAGCCTTTAGTTTGTCTATCAGCAACTGGCCACACCTAGTCCTACCCACTGCCATCTGAATTGACATCTCTGACTCTCTTGCTGGATCCCTTCCACTGTAAATTGCTGTATCTGTGAGCATATCAGACACAAATGAATGAGGATTTGCTCAGCCAGGGAAGGTATAATACATTGTATGCTTTTGTTGAGGCTTGTGCATCTCACAGTAACTGAATTTGGGACTTGTTTAGACTGTTATACAGAAGCCTTTAGTTGTACTTTAAGGAAGATACAAAGTTTCATTTAGCTTTTGTGCACCCTGCAGGAAAAATGACAGCTAAAGGATCTATACTGAAAGTGCAGTTATCATTTAATTGCTTTGCTTCTTTTTTCCACAACTGGAGTAACAAGAGTGCTGATTGATTAATGAAATTTACATTTAGCAGATCCCTTTGGGCCTTTGAATCATTTAAATAACTATATCTTTTTCCAGATATAATAAAATGTATTTATTAGAGCTTTTTCCTGTCCGGGCACATGTAATTTGATTAGTTGTTATTCAACAACCTTACAAATATCTTGCTTCAGCATGATATTTTTACCAGTGAATTTAGTTGTTTACATGCCTGCTATAAAAAGACAAATGTGTTTAAACTGTGTTTTCTTTTCCTTAGATACTGTCCCCTCTTTCAGATGCCATCCTAGCTGAGAAGACAGTGATGGTTGTAGATGAGAAGGTGACAGTCACAGATTTAGGAATTCAGGTAGTGACAGGATTGTCACTATCCCTTCAGCTCAGCACCGGGAGCAGCAGGGCAATCTATGCAGCTACTATAGCACATGAGCACTTTAATTCTCCAAAACAGGTATTCTGTTCTTGTGATTTACCTGCCCAGATTAATGATGCAAATGTATGTGTTAACTTTTCCCTGTTCAGTTGGTAAATGTGGCTTTCTACCATTTATTTGCCAGTTCAGGTGTCAAGCAAGAGCCGCAAATAATGTAAAGTGTGGCTAATGTTCAATTCTGGGCAGCTGTTAGAATTAACCATGCAGTTTGCCACTCTGACAATACAAGGGTTAAATGTTTGTTTAGTCTATGAGGATAGTAGGAATAAACCATAATACTTAATTACTCCCCTCTGCAGTCTTACCCCCAGCTGTGCGATCGGTCCCATAAAGTGTCTTCTCTTCTTTGCTCCTCCGGCCGCAAGATGGACCAGTGCAGAGTGCCGCCTGCTGGGGGAGCAAATAATAAGTTAAGTATCTGTGCTTATTCCAATTACCCTAAACTAAATTATCATTAAACCCTTGTAGTGTGTTTGGGGAGGGTGGGGTGACACTGCATTTTTTATTTTTAAAGCTGTCTGAAGTTCATTTAACTTGTGTAAAAAGAAGGATGTTTTGGTAAATCAGCCCTAATGTGTTGCAAGCATACTTTCTGTGTAATATATTTTACTATGGTGTGCGGTCTGGAAACACAATTAAAGTGACACTACACTTTATTAGATGTTAAAAAGTGCCCTAGCTATTAACAAAAAATGTAGCTTATTTGTTTATCACTCAGCTGTAGATCCTCAAATCATCTCTGAATTGGTGATGACACTGTTCTTCCTTCTGGAGGGTGACTACTTTTGTTCCCCATGGCCCCTGTGTTGTAATGTAGCCACTGCTGCAAGCCTGCTCCTGTGATGGACTACAATCTCAATCTCCATCACGTGAGTGAGTGAGTTTGGAGTGGTGGCTACTTTACAACAAACACAGGGACCATAGGAATAAGGTCTCCAGAAGGTTAAATGTCTAATCTGCTTGTCAGTACTTCTGATAGCGACCTATTCGCAGGTACTACCATTACTGTCCTTTTCACCATGTTATTAGCATACCCACTTGTATATAAGTGCAGTAGAGGTTCAGATTTATAACATCATTGGGTTTAATGTGCAAAAACTGAACCACTAATCAAAAATCAGTTTTTACTGAATCAGTTACAGTAAAATGAATTCTGATTGGTTACTGCACCTTTCACAATATTGTTTTTTTCTTGCCTTAATGAAAGTGACTGCTGGTTTCAGCAGGAATTTTAGGACATACTGGCACTTACGGTATTCAGGCTGTCTGAAAAAAAAAAATGCTTCTAAAATATACTCCTTGTATAGCTCTAAATCACTTTCTTGAGATTAGTTTGAATGCATGATGTCTTCATAAAGAAAACAGGACTCTGGAGAAGCTACATATATTACGATATAGCTGTGTATTTTTTTAGCTCTGTGGCAGAAAGAGGAATGCCAGATTTTACCAGTTTGTCCTGTACAGCTTAGAAAACCCTATATACTGTATGTGATTTTATTTTACATGGTACAATTTGATGAAGATGCAATGGTGACAATCCCAATTTTTCCACATGATCGTTATCACAGGGACCAATAACTGTATTTATGTGGCTTCTTGCACTGCACCATTTCTCACAGATCGTTATATATTTGCTGAGACCTTAGTTTGCCCATTAATCATGCCTTCATTTCTAAGCTGTGATAGAGGGACACCTTTCAGCACATAGTATATAGACAAGGGACTTACTCCCACTATACCTCCAGTTACATAGGTCAATAAGCATTTTTAGGCAAATAATTATTGGTTAAAACCGAAAAGTAAAATGAAATCCATATAATAAATAAAAACACCACAAAACATGCAGAAAAAACACCATCCAGTGCCAGATACCCTTTCAAAATATAGCTCACTGTGTTTTTGATCCCTAAAAATAGGAAGGTCAAGATGTGCTCAGGTGAATCCACATACATGTCCAGGATATATGACTCCACCATCAACTAAACTTCAGAGAATCATTTACATTCTCAAAAATAAACATCCAAATTGTATACCCAGAGATATAAGAAGAGGCTCACAATAGTGATACTGTTAATACTAATCTATTCAATGACACTCATGGAAACTTACATTAAAAGAGGGGAGATATAGCACTTTGTGGGGCACATTTGACAAATATTGTGACGTCACACTGATCCACCCTAAACGTTACATGTCTTATCCTCACTCTTCCTCAGGGGCTCTCTGAAGAAGTCTGAGCATGCAACAAATATGCATATGATGGGTCTGGGTGTCGTCACCATGTTTGTCACTTGATATTGGCATTCAGCATACGGAGACTGCTGGTTTAAATCTAAGATTGCTGTTTATCAAATGCGTTATAGTTGCCCTCTTTTAATATGCGTTTCCATTTATTTTTGTTTTAATAAATAAGTATCGATGATATGTCACTATTATGTGCCTCTTCTGATCTCCCTGGGCATACAATTTGGATTTTCATTGCTGAGAAAGTACAGGTGAAACTCGAATAATTAGAATATTGTGCAAAAGTAAGTGCAGTAAGTGCTGCAAAAGGGGCCCAAACCAAGTACTGAGTACATATGCATGCTTGTACTTTTCAGAGGTCCGATATTGTTCTATGTACAATCCTTGTTTTATTGATTGCATGTAATAATCTACTTTTTTGAGGTTGTGGATTTGGGGTTTTCATGAGCTGTAAGCCATAACCATCACAATTATGACAAATCACGGCTTGAATTATCTTGCTTTGCATGTAATGAGTCTATCTCATATATTAGTTTCACCTTTTAAGTTGCATTAGTGAAATAAATGAACTTTGCACGATATTCTAATTATTCGAGTTTCACCTGTATATGATTGCTTGTTTAGTTGATTGTGGAGTTGCATATTCTGGACATTTATGCAGATGTACCTGAGCGCATCTTGACCTTCTTATTGTAGAGGTCAGTACCGTACGGTGAGCTGTATTTCAAAAAGTTGTTTGGTATTGAATACTATGGTTCTCTACACATTTAGTGGTAGATTATGATTTTATTAAATATATGGACTTCACCACTTTATGTGCATGTTTTTAAAAAAAATACACAGGAACTTTTAAGAGATATATGAATTGTTTATTGTATAGTTTAACACACATGAATTATATATTTATATTTATTCAATGATTTAAGTGTTTAAGTATACTGTATATTGTATATGATTTGTTTTATTCACTTTTGAGGGCAGTAGGTTTTATTTTGTTATATTCTCTCTTTGGGGTGCAGTGTGGACAGTGGCGTAACAACTTTATTAAAATAAAAACGTGTGTGTGGGGGGGAGGTGCAGGGTACAGTTCCAGTGGTTGTTTATATAATGGGGGGGGGCGAAAAAAAATTCTGCCCCGGGTGCACAGAACTCTGGAAAGCAATAAAACCCCAAACATATTTTAACCGTTTCCTTTGTTATCAAAAACTAAAAAACAGTTCCACTTAAAATACAGAAGTGATGTTAAAGTGGAAGAAGAAGAAGAAGCAGTATTCATCATAATTAGATGAAGGTTACATACAGAATGTCATCAATTCTTGAAAGTAATCAGAGAAAACTTTAAATTAATAAATTGCAGAAATCTGCAATTTTTTTTTATTTAAATACACAACTGCGATAATTTAAGTTAGCTTATAATAATGTCTTCTGACAGTCACTTTATTATTCCGCTGTTAAATTTGAATCCATTTCGCCCTAGGGACCCATTGTCTTTATAGAAGCACCGAGAAAGAAAACACATTTTATTGCCAGGAATTTTAAACTAGTCTTTTTATGTCTTAGAAATAAATGCGTGCCCTTCACCTCCTAGTTTACACTTTATTATAGTATAAAATGTTCTTTAGAGAAATATTTTCTTCTCTTTATCTGCTGTTTGTTGAGCCTTTCTTTTTCTTTGGTTTTAAATACAGGAAGTAGAGATCAGTTGCTGGATCCAGTTTAGTGATGGCACAGTGACTCCATTAGATTTTTATGATCCTAAAGACTTTTCGCTAAGTGTGACATCATTGAATGAAAAGATTTTTACTGTTTCTCAAGACGCCAAATCAAAATGGCCAATTTTTTCAGCTGTTGCAGAAGGCCAGGGACCACTGGTCAAGGTAGAACTCATGATAAGTGAGCTTTGCCAAAAGTCAAAACGAAAGAGCATCCTTACTATTGGTGTTGGACACATAAAAGTCAAATTTGGGCAGGATAACAAGAATGAGAGTAGAAATGTACATTATAGGGATCGTTATGAAACCCACTACATTGGTAGAAGACAGAAGATTTCGCTAGAAGGTTTGAGACCTGATGGTGCTTATTTTGGCACACCATCCATGGAAAGAGATGTCATGAACAGGGCTACGACTGACAGATCTCAACTCAACAAGAAACTGGAACGGGATAGCCTTCTAGATGATGACAGCCAACTCCCCAACATTCCCATGGATTTCACCAGTTTTCCTGTACAGGTTGATATACCAAGTAATAATGGAGATACAGAAGAAAATGATCTTGTGCAAAATACAAGAGGTCTGAGTGATCTGGAAATTGGAATGTATGCATTATTGGGAGTCTTTTGCCTGGCCATACTTGTCTTCCTTATAAATTGTGTGACGTTTGCTTTAAAGTATAGGCACAAACAGGTCCCAGTAGATGAGCAAGAAACTATGACACATGCACATGACTGGGTTGGTCTTACTAATCGAACAGAAATTTTGGAAAATAATATTAACTTCCCTTTGCAGCCGGAAGAATGCATAACAGCTGTAGACAGAGGAGTAAATGTTACAGAAGGCAAATACCTTCTTAACTCAAACCCACCCAAAATTGTTAATGGACAGACATACAGATCTGCAGAGACTTCCTTCAATGAAGTGAAGGAACAGAGGGGGGAGTCTGCTGCCTCACCTACCTCTAAAAGGAAACGTGTAAAATTTACTACGTTTAGTAATATCCCTGTGGAAGATGGCTGCCTTAACATCAGCCCCATGTTAGTGAACAATGAGGACGATATAAAATGGGTGTGCCAGGACTTAGACATGGGAGATTGCAAAGAACTTAGAAACTATATGGAAAGATTACATGAAAATGTATGAACACAGACAAGACTTTTAAAGTGTTCAAACTTACATGGAGTCCTTAAAAGGCTGTTTTTTCAACCGCTATGTTGCTCCATGGAAACTATATAGGATGGAATGACGGATCCATGCACAAACCTTTTTATATAGACTTCTACAGGGTAGAAAACACATAATGTAATGCAAATTCTGGTTAAAATAAACAGTTATGTATTGTATGTAATGTGTCATGCATATAGTGGATATAGCAATGATTACAAATAATGGGGAGCATTTAATACTTGCATAAAGAGAGAATGCAACAGAATTCAGAGGTAACCAGAGTTCCTATATTGTACTATTAGGCTTGTTAAGTACATGAGAATAAAGTGAATTGATTGTGTGCAAAGCGCAGTAACCAAAAGCAGCCAATTAAAATTCATCCTTATTGATCTGGCTGCAGTAAATGGCAAACCTAATGGATGCTGTGAGTTACTGTATCTTGCCCATAGCCATTTGCACTTTGCACTGCCTAATTACATAAATCTAAGTGTATAATAATGTGTTCTTGGACAGAAGGCATGAGGAATACACAGCGTTTTACCAATCAGGATAACAGATTAGCATTTTTTTCTATGACCTATATTTTTAGTGATTTGCATTATTCGCCTCTTCTCCTAGCTTAGTATTGCCACCTGTTCCTATACACAAAGAGAGAATGCATTGATTCAGGATCTGCATCTTTGCATTCTCTCATACACCTCCAGGAGAGAATGCATTGACCCAGGACCTGCATGGCTACCTTCCTTTCTTCAGTGTATACAGGAGTGGTGCAGACGAGTGAAGCTTAGCACCACAAAGGAAAAAGGAAGAAGCAGAATTCTGTTTCAATAGGAAGGGAAGGGATGTGCCTGTGGTCCATGATGAGAATCTTATAAGTAAGGTAACTTATTTTCATGAGAATGCAAAATTCAATGACTTTAGTGTCTGCAAACAGAATATAATTTATATACATTTATATGATTCATTATTTATGTTTTCATTTACAATGATGAGGTTGATGAAATGCCCTGATATTTTGAAAACTTTACCTGTAATCAAATTTTGTGGGTCTTTTTCATTGTTAGCACAAATGTAACCAGGTAGTAAATGCGTGCGCTCTTTGTTGTATCCAGAAATGTAATATTTAGAAAGCTTCAAAACAACATAAAGTTCTTACTGTTCATTCCAACTCACATTCATGTGTTCTTCAGGTAAATTGATCCTATTATTATTGTTATTATTATACAGGATTTATATAGCGCCAACAGTTTGTGCAGCGCTTTACAATATAAGGAAGACATTACAATCACAATAAAATTCAAGACAAGATGGTAAGGAGGACCCTGCCCGTGAGGGCTTACAATCTAAGGGAGGGGCAATCCTAGAGGCAAAGTGTGCACATGCCTAGAACAATGATGGGGAGCATATTCCTATAGCTTTTACATTAAAGTAGAATGGAAGCCAAAACTTATTTTAGTTTTAGATAGAGTAGGTAAGGGTTATATTCCCTGTCAACTTTTTTTGACATATGCGTCCCATTGGGCAGATGTCTGATAGCAACAACCGGAAAGTGAAAGGAAATCCTTTCAAAGTAAGGGAAATCCCTGGTGGTCAGGGAACTAGTGCACTCAATGAAAGATTTCCCATCGTTTCCTGTTCTGATGACAACCCAAAATTCGGCATTTTCTTTCACTTTTGGTGATAACAGTCACCAGGACAAATCGAGAGGGTAATTCTCTCTAACGGGGAGACAGCAATTAAAAACCTGGTAGGTGTTCTGACCCTTCTCCACTTTATCCAAAACTAATAAAAAAAACGTTTGGCTTCAGTTAAGCTTTAATGAATTGATCTAATTTTGAGGATGTTGACAGGTATAATGATTATTTTGCTTCCATGCTTTTGTTGCTTTCTTTCTTCAAATTAAATACTTGAGAATAGGATTTGTGTGCAGACTGGAATGGTTCTGTGAAAATGCTGCTACTGATGAAGTATTTAGTTGCTTCATAATGTACTGCTAAACAGTAAAAAAGAATGCTGAAGCAGTCTTGGAAAGGCCAGGATTCTTTTTTTTAAAAGGATCTTTTAGAATAGAATTATGGGAGTGGGAATTCCAGTGCTGTTCAAAACTCCTGCTCCTCTTATAATTCCCTGCTCTATTGTGGTGAGCTACTGTATTTGGTAACCCTTGAAGACATCACGACTGGCTCTCTTTTAAATACATTTGAATACATTGCAGTCAAACTCCAGTGCTACTTTTTTTGTTTCAGACTAGAGCACTAAGAAAGACTCATTGGTTCCTATGAACAGCAACAACAACCCATCTTTCCAATTGTTCTAATTTAATAAGTTAGCCTCACAGAGTTCTGAGTTACAAAAAGATTCCTTTCCTGCAAAACCAGGTCCCTATTATTTTACAGCTTAGTTTACATTTAAGATAAGTAGAGTGACTTATGGTGTCCATACACATCAGATACCGGGACTGGATGACTGTTTGTGCCAATGAAAGGATTTACCTAGCAGCCAAATTAAACATTATTGGCCAAAAGCTGGTTGTTTTTCTTCAGTCACACCCGAGCACTGTCAAAGTATACAGTGCTCTACCTGCATATTGTAAAGCTGAACTCTGGCTGTACTTTGTCTTGTATATTTATACAGGTATTTCTCCTGTACTAAAATGCTTACTCAATAGTCCCTGCACATTGTAACATTTCACAGTGTGCTAAGAAGCTGCAGCAAGTCGGATAGAGCCCGTCCAGTTTCCTGCTAGAGGACATTCAGCATTATCCATCTCTTTCCTCCCCAGTCTAACTCGCAAAAATAATAAAATGTCTAACTGTTTAAAAAAATGTATGTAATGAAAACAGGTTTTATTAAAAATGTAATTAGTATGTTGATGAAGGGGGAAGAACCAGGGAAGTAAAAAAAATAAGCTGATTAAACTTCAGCTTTAAATATATTTTTTGGTAGTGGTGGTATTTCCTTATTTACATCTTACTTTTCTAATGTAAAAGGGTAATTTAACTTGTTTATTTTACTTTTATTTTCGCCTTGTAATATGTCTCAAATCACGCCATCAGGTTTATTTTCTCCTTAAGTTGACTCTAAAAGGATCTTACCTGTATGATAAGCAGCTTGAATACTCCCATGGCAGTGGAGCTACTGTGCAGCCTGAGTGTCAGAACCTGGCAAGCAAATGAATGAAGCAGCTTCTCCCACATGAAAATTCATCATGACAGAGTCCCTTTAAACTTCAAGTAATGACATTATTGTATTGTGAAGATTCATTCTTAACAGTCATTTGACAACAATTTAACACTGCATTTCTCATGTTGGGATTTTAATGCATGTCTACCTGTCTTAAATGACAGAAAAGGTGAGAAATATGACTGACTCTTTCCTGTTTAACCTTCATTTGAAAATATGAACCTACTTGACAAGTGTATTAACTGTAACACTGTAACACTGTTATAACTCACATGTCTGAACACCTTTTTATTGATATGCACAATTGTTGAAGACTACATTACCTAGTTGTGTTGAATTTTGGATTATGGAATGCTCTATTTATTTTTAAAGTTAACTTGTATAAAAATCATTGGTTGTATAACCTATATATTTACAGCAAACTTGGTTGCAAAAACAATGATTTAAAGTGACACTAAACTCAAGAGTTAAATCTTAAAACCTTAAATGAGAACTATGAGGTTTCTCTGGACTCTTGTTTGGACAGATTTAGGTAAGATTTACTAAGAATTACGGGCCTACAATATAAAACAACACATTTCCATGAAAAACAATGTACCGCTTTGGGATGCTAAAATCCTGCATAATCATACCGCCAGGGAGATTAATTGGTGCTGACACTGTCCCTTCTTCTGGAGGATGGCTACTTTTGTTCCCCATGGTCCCTGTGTGTGTTGTAAAATAGTCACCACTCCAAACTCACTCCCGTGATGGACTACAATCTCAATACAAATGAGCTAACTAAATAGCATATTGTAGTCCATCATTGGAGCGAGCTATGAGTGGTGGCTACTTTACAACACACACAGGGACCATGGAGCACAAAAGTAGTCACCCTCCAAAGGAATGATGGTGTCAGCACCAATTCAGAGATGATTCGAGGATATACAGCCAAGTGATATTTAAATAAGCTAAAATGTTGTTAAAAGTTAAGCTACTTGAACTCAATTTCACACGTGTCTAGAATTGCACTTTTAAATCAGAACTTCTGGAAAGCAGAAACAATAATGAATTACCTGGAATCCTAACAAATCAATACTGGGATCCCATGTTAGTCTATCTTTTTTTTTTCTTTTTTAACAGACTATCTACACCAGGGGTAGTGAATTAACATTCAAGGAAGTCCAGTGGCCAAAAAATGTTTTGAGCAGAGGTCTAATTTTCGGTCCAGAAAGAGCCGTCACTCAGCATGTGTCTGGACTGCAGTCTGCCATTTAGGCTGCATTCACACCAGCAGCTGCACTGCAACACAGTGCAACACACAGCGGTGCATCCACTCTCAGCCAGCCATAACCTAGTGCAGGTCAGCAATCACAGTCCGGATAGAACCGCTACGTGGTCCGTATCTTGACCACAATCCACCAATTAAGGGTCCTGCGATCTACACCATTGGCTTGTGATTTTAAATTAATGGCTAACAAACAGTAAACTACCAGCTTTAGTGGCAGATGGTCTGCTAGACATGTCTGATTATTGTTTTTTTCTAAAATTATTTAACCATTACACAACCAAACAATACAGCAACACTCCCACCCCCACCACCTACACCCACACTCTTATTTCATGTGGCCTAAACTGGTCATATGGTCTCTGGTTATAATGACTGCCTTGCTGGAAAAGAAAACACAGTTGCTACATAGTCAGACTGCTGGAGAACTAGCCTGCTGTGTGTGAGAGAGTCAAGGTCTGACTCTTCTATGTAAGCAAGGGTATATTTAACCCTGATGCAGCATTTAGTAATGTAAACAAGTATATATGTATTACTGTATATGCAGCCTGGAACAGAAACATTATGAAATAAACCAGAGAAAAGGGTAAGATTGAATCCAGATAAAGATAATCACTGGGTTGGTTGTGAAAAACACCTACTCCCTTAGCATTCCACTAG